GAAAGAGTTACAGTTTCAGCTTAGAGTTTATGAAGAATGCAGGTGGAGGTTATAAAGATGAAGAATTAAAATTCTAACTAATCATTTGAAATTAGTTCAGGTCCACCAGTGCAGAGGAGTTAGACATATAGTTGTGTTAATGAGGCATGGGCACACACATCTGTACTGCACTGCACTATAAATATGCAATAGCATTTATTAGGGAAAAGCTTAGAAGCAAAGAGCTTGGACCTGCAACTTTTCTTCTCAGCTGTATGCTTTGTTGGGGCCTAACTGGATTGGATGCACTATGGCTTACCTTCCAGTAGGGGGAACCCTGCCCCAGAGCAGTCTGCAATGGTCCTGGGTCCCAAAACATCCGTAAAACCGGCATCTAACAGTGGATGGTGTCTGAGTGAGGATGTGACCTTGTAGAAATACTCAGTGGCTGATATCAGTCTCTTCTTCCATTGAGCTAAATCACACCCGTTGAGGGAGCACAGCTGAGCTACCAAAAGCGGGGAAGGAAAAGAGCCTCTAGAGTCTTAGGAATTTAGTTTTCTTCCAGAGCCTGGAGATGTAGTTAGAAAGCAGCTGTCAATAATCTTTGAGAATCACTGGAAGGAGAGGTTCCAGAAGACTGGGCACAATAACTATTCAAAATAGAGGCTCCAGGTAGAAAGTGGAGGAACACTTTGTTTCATACAGATTAGACTGGTGAACTCGACATAGGTTTTCTGTAAATTTCTACGGGAGAGGCTTGACACATGGTTGTGAGCATTTATGAAGGGAAGGGTAATGCTGGATGGTACCATGTGTTCACCTAGCACAAGTCGTACATAACCACTCTTAGAAAATGCCACAAGTCATAGCTATTGTGATTTTTTCAAGGGACTTGATGAAGGGTATCATGATGTCTGTCTTGTTGGTAAGATGAGAAAATACTCCTCCAATCTGAGGATCCAAAAAGTATTGATTAATGGGTCGATATCAACGAGAAGATGATCTTTCATTGTATGATTGTGAGAATGTGCTTGTACTGATTACATTAATGATTTCTGGTAACCCATTCAAACTGTATTGTTCATGTCATTAGTTATATGCCAGCTAAAGTTTCGATTGTGAAAGCGAATCATTCTAGCAGACTGAATTTCAGATTCCTGAGATGAGTGATTGATCGCATGCTCAGTACTTTGGGTTATTGCTCATGTAGGCTGATCAGTATTTTATAATTTAAAATAACTAATCTAAAACTGTGGTATGCTACTTGAATTTTCAGTATTGTCATACCCTGTACCTCTTAGCAGAAAGCAAAAAGGGTACACTTCCAAAACCTGGAAGGGAGAAAAGAGAAACTGCCTGCATTATTTCCAGCCTGATGGTAATGCTAACTGGAAATAACGACACAATTCTACAATAGCCCCAATTTAATTGCGTGCTTACTGTGTACCAGGCACTAAGCTTAGCACTTTAATTGCATTATTAATCTTTATAATAACACTATGAAGTGACTGCTGTTATCTCTTTTACGATCAAGGAAAGTGAGGCTCTGAATTTTACATGGTTTTCAGGGTCACGCCACAGTTAAGTGACGGAACTGGAATTCCAAAGCAGTTGGAGACAGAACCAGACTGTCTCGGGTCTCAGGACTCCCATTTCCCTTTTCTTCCCGCTGAATCCGTCTTCTTAGTTCTCCTTCCCTAATGCTTCTCATTCACTCACCTCATTTCTGTCTTCCCCCTCGCTGCCACTCCTTTGGTCCCCACTGTTCTGTCTCCCAGTGGCCTCCTAAGCCCTGAGCCCTTGATCTCTGGTCTCATCCTTTTTTTCAGTCCATCCTCTACCCTGACATTTGTGTCAAGCTCTGTGTTACATGATGCATATGTAATTTCACCAATTTCCCGTTAGGTCCCCTCATTCATTCAGAAAAGAGACCTCTGGTCAGAAATCAAGTACATCAGTTAAACTGGGAATGTAGTTCAGTTAAAAAACAACAATAAACACTGCAAACGCGGGCCTGTGCTATTTCAGACGAAAAGGCAGGGATGACCCACTCACAGCTGTTGGGTCTATGAACTCCATCACTCTGGCATACTACCTCCCATTCCAGGCACCAGGCTCACTGACGGCCAGAGTGGGACACAGGAGTTGCACCTCAAGTTGTGCCAGCAAGCATGGGCGCACACACTGTGAGCATCATTCGTGGCCTGTCCCATTGCTCCTGTGCCTCTGCTCCTCAGCCCCGTGATCCACTTCTGTTTTCCTGAACATTTCACTCTAATAATATGTACCACGGACGAAGTACGTACTGAGCTCCAGTTCCCCTTCAGAAGTGCTAGCTAGGATAGGATAGCCATTATCTCATCAGGGTCCTGGTCGGGACCAGATTCAGGCTATAATGCAACTGACCAGGCTCCTGTTGCGTGGTCTCTTGGCTTTGAGGATCATGAAGTATCCAATTGACCTGCATGAGAAAATACTAGTAATACGTGATAGAAATCTGGATACCAGAAATAAATTTTCACCCAACATCTTGGCCTTTACTGAATCGGGTGCTTAGATTTCACATTAGTGTACCACAATGATCTAGTACAGAAATTCAGAAACAAATTATAATTCGTTTCCTTGTCTTCTCCAACTTCTAGAGGCTGCCTGCAGTCCTTGGCTTGTGGCCTCTTCCTCTGCCTTCAAGGCCAGTTTGCTTAGTACCTTCATGTCCCTTTTTCTCTCTGACCCCTACTTCTGTCCTCTTTTCCTTCCCTGACCCTCCTGTAGAAAAGACAAAGCTGAAGAAAACATACACCGAGACCCAGGTTTAGGGAGGGACTGACTGTAAAAGGGCACGAGGGCACACTTTTCGGGGTGATAGAAATGTTCTGTATTTTGATTTAGTGGTAGTTATAGAAGTACGTTTGTCAAGATTTAGTGAATTATATACTTAAAGTTGGTGAGTTTTATTGTTCATAAATTATAGTTCAGTAAAGCTGATGTAGAAAAAAATGGTTAGGAATTTGAGGGAATTAAAAATTTTTCTTAGTAAATTGTTAGAGGATTTTCCTGTGCTGTTTTGTAAAGCTGCGTATCAGATCATAAGTCATAAGAGAGAGGGGAATTATTGTCTCTTCCTCTCTCTGGGTTACATAAATATCTTAGTAACTGCAAACAACATATGATGCATTTGGCGTCCACAAAACTACTTGCATGTTGCCTTAGTGAGAATATTACAAACAATCAGTATCCCAAAGACAGAAGGAAGGTTGTGCTGTTCGCTGGAGTTGTCCTTTTTGGATTGGGTGGTGCGTACTTGCCACCTGGACAGGCAGTCATTCCGTTGTGATATTCTGTGCACCTTTGATGTCAACCTGTCTTCAGCTTCAAATTATTAAAATAATCTAAAGTTTAAAAAAATGACACAAGGTTGATGAAGGTACTATATATTCTTTCTTATTGACTTTAATCTGTACTTTTTTTCCCCTCAGATTCACTCTCCTTAACCTCTCTGTGATATTTGATCTTATTATTTTCTCCTCAAAAGCTTCTTTCTCCCTGGTCTCTGGGAAGACTACCCTGGTGATTTTCTTCCCACTCAGAAATGATTTCGTTATCTCTTGGCTGGTGTCTTTGTCTGGCGTTTCCGTAGGAGAACGCAGCCCACTGCCCCATTTCCTAAGCTTCCCACTGCGGTATCTTATCCTTCCCTGTGAGTAATCCATTCCGTCCGTCTCAGATCTTTTGTCCCCCCCGTCAAGCCTTGTCCCTCATTTCCAGCTACCGTAGGGCACTGTCATCATCCTTTTTTCTAACCATTGACCAAACTAAACCTGTGGCCTTTTCTTCCACATGCTCTCCCATTCTGGGTTCTCCCTGTCTGCAGGGTGCGCCATTCTTTCCCCTCTGCCACTTTCCTTTTCCTCTGTCTCCTCCATTCAGTTCCTGTTCAGACCTTTTCTATTTCCTGTGGGCCATCTCCCTTCCTTTTGGGCTTTGCGATAACCACTTTAATTTGTGACCTTATTGCCAGAGGTCACATGGCACCTTTAAGACATTCTTGAGTGAGAGCTGCTGGTCGGGATGACAAAGAAGTTTTCACAGTTTGGGGAGCCACTCTGTCACCAAATGCCTGTCTCCAAGCCCTGTCGAATGACCGAGTCACCAGGTCTCAGAGCTTGACTGTATTCTTCCAGTAAACCTGTGGGGACACTTTGGAAAAACGGGGTGTTTCCTTTTCTGCGTTCAGCGCACCGTTGCTGCCACGGCCCCTGCTTTTGCCACTGCAGATAGCTTTCCCTTCCCTCTCCAGTATAGTGCGCCCCTCCCCCGTGCCCTCCGGAATCGCGATCCGGGCTTTGTGCTTGTGCCATGCCTGTGGTGGCTGAAGACTTGCCGCCTTGTGCTCTCTCGGAGCTGTTCCTTACTTCTCCTCCCTGCACACTGTTATCTGTGTCATCTTCTGATTGAAAAGCATCAGTGAAGTGCCTGGGATTGCAGATTTTTATGGGCTTCAGTCCTATAAATCACTGAACGTGTGTCTGTTTTTACCCCTCTGGTATTTTCATCTCTGGTTTCACTGTGGAGTTAACTGAGTTATGTTGTCCCTCACTCACTCTTCCCAAAGGGGAGGGCTGGCCCCAGCCTGGAGGTCTTCGAGTTGAACTCAGTTCTCAGAAATACGATGTTCACACTTAGTTTCCTTTTCATCTATTTTTGGTAGTAGAAGATCTGCTTTAGAAGTGAAAAGTAGATTAGTTATTTCAGTGACTAGGGTATTTAAAGGTGCTTTATTTGTTATCTTTTCATCGGAAAGAAAAGTAAAAGAATAGTTTAGAAAGCATATTTCTGGGTTCAAAAATACAGTCTTTATGTTTCTCTGAAACAAATAAAATCAGCATCCTCAGGCACTGGTAGAATTGAAGCCGTTATCAGATTTGTAATGAAGTAGCCGGAAGCCTAGACATAGTGATCTTTCTGACTCGCACGCCGCTGTGTTTATTTACCTTCCCTTTCATCTTCGGGCCTTCCAGGGGGGTGTTCGATGCTTCCCTGAAAATGGCTGGCTTCTACGGATTGTACACCTGGCTGACTCACACTGTGTTTGGCATCAACATTGTCTTCATACCATCAGGTAACAGTTGTGTCATAACTTCCACTGCCCTCTATTTAAGGAAAGTGAAGCCATTTTACGTACATTGGGAAGTGTTATTTTTTTTTAAATTTAAAATACTGAATTTTGAGATCTGATCTAGTCCAGGTTAGGAGCAGGACTGTGATTTGTAATGCTTGTTTATTGCTGTGTCCCCAGTAGCTAGAGCAAGACCCAGCCCAGCGAAAGCGCTGCATGACATTTGTTAAATGAATGGATGCCCTATCACACTAAGCACACCTAGCACATAACTGGCACTCAATAAATGTTTGAATCGAACTTATTGGCAGGGAGCAATAAGTTGGTCAGATGGCTTTGTCCCATGAAGGAGACAGTCCCATGGGCAAGATAAGTGCTTTTGAGGGCCCATAAACTCTCTCCACACCTCGTGAGGTCTGTTCTGATCAGACCCACATTCCAGAAGCACCAGGATGGTGTAATGACCATCTTTTACTTTTCCTTTGTTATCTGTGCTCCTGTCCTCCCATATTTTTCTTTATTTCTGTGGCTGCTTGTCTTCCTGGCACATCTGCCTTCCACATTTGCCTGTCCCACCACTGTTTTTCCTCTTTGGTCTGTGCTCCCGTCTTTCCTTACATTCCCAGGTTTATCCAGGTTGTTTCCTACTTTGTTGTCCACAAAGCCACCCTCTGACATGTGAGCACCCCAAGAGCACGTGAGGTGGTTTTATGACAGACCTGTGAAGCAGGCAGGATGGGTGAAGTCCCTGTTGTGCAGACGAGAAACTGAAGTTCTCTAGGGTCACAGACCTGGCTGATGGATGCACACCTGCTTGACTCGTAGTCAGGAGAGCCGCGCTGTGTGGAGCGCTCTGACACACTGCTCCGGAGGGGCAGTGTTAGGTCCTTCGGCCAGCTGGTGTTCGCTGTTTTTAAACTACATTTCCTTTTTTATTAGAAAGAATCAAGGTTAAGGATATGTAGTCATATCTGAGCGATAGAGACTAATTTCTGATTTGGCTTTGGGCTCAGTACAGATTTTGACCAATGTTCTATACTCACATTATAAGACCGTATATTAACTAATCATTGATTCAGAATAACAACTGCAAGATGCAAAAATTGTGTTGCTAAAGAATAGGCTTGTGAAGTAAACACACATTTAGAAAGATTTTCAATACAAAGTTTTAAGATACTGGACCTTCGTTTAACTAGCAAAGTCAGTTCAACAAGGGTGTATCGTTCCCTGAATATTTGAGTTGATATTTAACTTGTTTGGTGGAAATTTTTGAGTAGGAGGAGCTAGTGTCTATGTTCTGCTCTTTTGTTATTGTTTTGATGATGATGCTCAGTTGCACTTCTTAATTAATCTTTTACTAGCGTTAGCAGCAATCCTGGGAGCAGTGCCATTTCTGGGGACGTACTGGGCGGCAATACCTGCGGTCCTAGACCTGTGGCTGACACAAGGCTTAGGATGCAAAGCCATCTTGCTGTTGGTTTTTCATCTCTTGCCAACATACTTTGTAGACACTGCCATCTATTCTGATATATCAGGGTAAGTATTCCACAGAACTTCCAGTGAATCATATCCAAGGATTTCTCTGTCCTTTTTGAAGAGGGTTTTTCTTTCTTTCTTTCTTTCTTTTTTTGAAAATAGAAGAAAGGAGAGGTGGTAGGAGTTTTTAGTGAAGTAGCCTTCTGTAATTCCACTGATATAACCAAAGTTTACTTTAATGTAATTAATATTGTTTGCAAGACACTTTGGTATTATATATTACTTATAGGATGGCATGGGTTAAAACAAAATTGTGAATAGTCTTCTGATTTAGTGACAGTTAATCTAGGAAAGAAATATTACTAGAATGTGAAACATTTAATGTAATGAGTTAGTGATTATTTTCAGAACTTCTTTGCTTTCGGAGAAAAACATCATTAGATTGTATGTCTGGCAATTTCCATATAAAATGAAATTTCATCAAACTAATATATGACAAACAGCTCTCTTACTTACAATATTGTATAGTATGGTTCTTTGATGAGTACAAGTTAAATATAAGGCAGAAGCCAAACTTAATTAACTAGTGCTTCAAGCTGAAATTTAAACAGTGGGGGTAGGTACACAGTTGACAGCTAAGTGCTTTCATTTCTTTAAACTTTACTGCACATTTTATATTAAGGTTTCTAGGGAAAGTTGAAGATTTATGTGATTTTTTTCTTAATAAAATACTACCTTACTTAACCAACATCATTAGGACATGAAAGGTTTTGGATAAATTGTTTTACTTTTTAATAAATCAGGCTTTTATTTAAAAGCTCTCAGACATGTTTTTGAGCACTAAACATTTTTTGATAGGAACTTTACTTAAATGTATCATTTAGGGGAAAAGCTTATTGACATAGCGTATATGGAATATTGCCCTGGATCCTTTTTTGGAATAAGGAAGACAAGTAAATATAATGTATTGGTTTCCTGAAGACTGGCTTACCTTAAATATTACTTATTGAACTATAACATAATACAAGGCATCCTTCCGGGGTATTTGTTACTTGCCCCTCACTAAACTGTAGTCACGTGTGTTTAAAAACTAGAAACACCCAGAACCATACCTTTTCCAAGTTCCCCGGATATCAGGGGCCATTGTTTTTGTAACCAGTATGCTGGGCTGCCGTAAAGTATCTCATTTCATCCAGTTTGTGAGTGATACTGTGATCAGCTGGAGGGCAGTGCTGACTGTCTCGTGATGAAATATTCAGGTTTGTGACAGCTGTTTTCCTCATGAGGACTTTATCACAACCTGTATTAAAAACTGTATTTTAGGAGGCTGCCGGAAGTCTGACCTATGAGTAATGGGGATGCTATTGTATTGTTGTCATCTTTAAAAAAGCATAATTAAATAATTACATGCTAACTATCCTTGATGGAGCTGTCTGATAGACTCCAGTCCTAAGCCAGCACTAACCCACTTCAGGCAGCAGCGTAATGGGTGCCAGGTACAGTTAACATTACCGACTTCACACCATCAGCTCATGGGCCTGTATACAAGGCAGATGTCAGACATGTTGTGTAGGCAGGAAAATTCTTACATCTCAATATTATTACATTGTTCAGTTATCCACATTGAGATAATCTGAAGAACCCTGATAATGTAGTCAAAAGCCTGTGTATCAGAGAACACACATTTTGTTAGGGAATGTGTGTGTCAGATTTACTCCGGGGTTCATGTTTGTTGAAAGTCGTGAGCTAATCTGTGTGCTCTTTATTCCAGAGGTGGCCATCCTTACTTGACCGGCTTGGCAGTGGCTGGCGGCGCATACTACCTGGGCCTCGAAGGGGCGATCATCGGGCCCATCCTGCTCTGCATACTTGTGGTGGCTTCCAACATCTACAGTGCCATGCTTGTGAGTCCCACGAATTCAGTGCCCATGCCGAACCAGACCCCGTGGCCTGCTCACACCCAGCGGTGAGTCACAGCAGAATGACCTTAACCGGTGGAAGGAACGACCCTGTCTCTGTCTTCCTGACCTGTGTAGTCTGTCAGGATGCAGGTATTTCAGTGCCTACACTCTGCTGAAGATTGTAGTAGGCACTTGTGAAGCAAAACCATTGGATTTTGTGCGCACCAGGAACAGTTGAAAACTAAATCGGGTCAGAATTGTTAATGTCGTGAATGACCAAAAATAAATGAAAAATATAAAAGACTGTTTGGGGACATGGTATATGAGGTTAAAGGAGACTCAGGATGTGGGATCATCAAATGCAATGCATGACTCTGTGACAGGATCTGGGATTTGGAATGGGAAGAAGCTGTAGAGGACATTTCTGGAACAATGGGAGACATCTGAATATGGACCATGCATTAGGTAATACCGTTACACCACTGTTACATTTGTCAGGCGTGATAACGAGACTTTGGCTTGTGGCAGAATGTCCTTTAGGGATGAGATGTCATGATGTCTGCAACTTCCTTTCTGATAGTTCAGCCAAAACCGAGATAGGGCGAAAGTGACTGTAGCAAAATGTTAACAGTCAGCGAATCTGAAACTAGTCTTTCTGATAATCAGGTTTACACTTTTTCAGAACAGAAGGTTGGGAAACATTATTTGAGTGTATTGGTATGGAGTTACAAGTTGTTATTTTGCAAGTACAGACATTGAAATCATCATTTTCTGGGTGATTCTTCTACTTTATCTTCAAAACCTCCAAAGAGGTTTCCATGGCTGCTATCATATTTTTTTCAGTCTGGTTTATTGAGGTATTATTTATGTAAATAAAATTTACCTTTTGTAGCATACAGGTTTATATCAGTTCTCAATGATATATAACAAATTATACTAACTTAGTGTCTTAAAACAATATACATTTATTATATTCATCCCCATGGGTCAGGAGCCCAGGCACAGCTCAGCTTGATCTTCTGCTTAGGATGTGACAAGTCCATGGTCAAGGTGTGAGCTGCAACTGGGGTTTTATCTGTGGATTGGGATCCTTTTTCAAGCTTGCTTATTATTAGCAGGATTCATTTCTTTGCAGTTGTAGAACTGAGGCTTGTAGCTGCTGAAGGCTATCCCTCTAGGCCATTCACACAAGGCTGTTTGCTTCTTTAAGGCCAGGGTGGTGAGCGTTTTTATGACTTCTGCCTCTTGTTAAAACCCTTTTTTAATGGGCTCACCTGATTAAGCTTGGCCCAGCCACCACACTTATCTTTTGATTAAAGTCAACTGATTAGAGACCTTAATTATATCTATGAAATCCCTTCATTTCTGTTGTGTTAACATAATCATGATATCAGAGATCAGATATGTTGGGCTCTTCCCTCATAACAAGAGTGAGACCCTCACTCAAGAGCTGTGGGCAGGTTGTATGTGTTACCGTAATGTCATCTGGCAGGGCCATTGGCTTTTGCAGCCTTCGATGTCAGTGCCTTTTGGTTCCCCTTTGGGGCCAGTACATTCCTCAGAGAAAGGCCTTCTGATCTGCCTGGAGGTTGATGGCTTGGCTGCCAACGTCGTGGAAGCCAAGGCAGGGAAAGGGGCTGGACAGTGTTCAAGACGCAAACATTCACTTAATCACCCACTGTCAGTGCGCTTCCCCACCCCCATCTCTTCCTGTTGTGTCCCAGTCCAGGGACTTTTGTTTTACCTTCTCCAGAGGAGGGGAAACTCTAATTTTCTGCCAAGGATCGGGCGGTGGCTTGGCTGGGTGGAGGTGGGTGAGGATACTGGAGCAGTGGGCCTCACTGCTTTCCATGCAGATGTGAAAGTGGTTCTGTGTTTGACCCCACCTGCAGCCACACTTCCAGGGTTACTCGGTGTCACCGGTTCCTGAGCCTCATGGGGGATTTTGCAGAATAAATTAGATTGCTTCTGGCTTTTCCCACTACTGGTTTAGGATTCTGCGTTTTAGGGACAAAGCACCCGTCCATCTGCTTTCCATCTTCTAAAAGTTTGTTGTTCTTACTGCATGGGTGCTCTTTTGTTTCAGGTTTTTTCGGGTAGATTTATGACTTAAAATACTTTTACTGGCATTATAATGGGGTTTTGAGAGGACCTAAAGGAAATATGTGTTCAATGTGTCCCTCTTTAGTGGGAAGTCTAATTGACATCTTAAACAGTAATAAACACCACCACTGGTGATATTTATTGGGACTTACTGTGTGGCAAGTTCCGTGATAAAATTTTACACGCATTATCTTATTTTACTTAATCCGTCTAGTGTTTTCATGAGATTAGGAATGGTTGTTTTTCATGGTTTGTAGATGAGGAATTCAAGGCTTAGAGAGGATAACTTGCTTGTAGTCACAGAGCTGAAAAATAGGTGGGCTGGTGTGTTTCAGCTAAAGGTCTTTCTTCCTCACAAACCATCCCTTTCTCAGTAGAAAAGAACACTCTCCTGCCCTGGCCAGTGTGGCTCAGGTGGTGGGGGCTTTGTCCCATAAACCGAAAGGTCTCAGGTTCTATTCCTAGTCAGGGCACATACCTGGGTTGTGGGTTCAGTCCTGGGCCTCGGTGCCTTCGAGAAGCAGCAACCAGTTGATGTTTCTCACCTTGATATTTCTCTAACCCTCTCTCCTCCTCCTCTTCTAAAGTCAGTGTGTCCTTGGGTGAGGATTAAGAAGAAAAAAAAATCCTCCTCTCTCTCCTTTGTCAGTCAATATTACCCTCCACTTCCACGTGCCATTCATTGTGTACTAACCCGTACTACTTCCCATCTCCTCAGTCACCATCTTTACCTCACATCTGTCCTCGCGTCCTCGTCCTAATGCCGCCCTGGGCTAAGCTGGGCCCAGCTGCTGGGTTTCTCACCTGGGCGATTGCTCTGGTCATCCTCGTCTCCCCACTGCTTGCCGAGCCTCCGCTCTTTCTGGTTGTGGCACAACTGACTGTGGTCATTTTACCAAAACTGGCCTCTCCTTGGTTTTAGGCGGAAGACAGAATCCTTGACGTGGCTGTTAAGGCTCTGCCTGGTGTGCCCTGGCCTGTCTCGCTGGAGCTAAAACGTTTCCCCAGGCTCTCTGAACTGCAGCCCCGGGCCCCACCCAAACTCCGGGCCTTCACACAGGCTGCTTTCCCTCCGCCACAGACTCTTCCCCTCCACCCGGGTTCCCTTGCTTAATTAATCCTAATCATTCATCAGACCCAGCGCAAATGTCAGTTCATCAGAGAAGCCTTCCCTACGCCCAGGATTAGGTTACATCCTTCCTGCCAGTTTAATACTCTCACAGACAGCACCTTGTAGCTTTCCCCTGCAGGACAGTTTTCATTTACACTCTTGATGGCGTGTCTGTCTTTTCCCTCTTGACTGTGGCTGCGGTTACTGCAGGGGCATGTCGGTGTTAGTTACTGATGTGTCCGCAGTACCTGTCAGCAGTGTTTTGTACTTGGAATGTGTTCAATTCCTAGTTGGAAGAACAAATGGGCTGTGAAGGAATAGTCTCTACAGAGGCATGACTTACGGAAGGATATGGCGCATCTTGGGAACTGATGTTGTTACACTGTGATAATAGAGGGTGGGTGGTACCTTTCATTGGGCGGACTTAGCCTTCTAATTGCTGATGCAGGCCCTGGTGGCAGAACAGACCCACTTGCAAGACTATTTCAATGCATGACCATCTATCCTCAGACAGATGATCATTGTTCCTCCTAAAGAGACATGGAGGGAGGACCCTCTGTCCATAGTGGTGAATGCAGTATTTGATGGTGGCGAGTGTTGTGAACACAGCACAGCTTTGGGCTCCTTACAGTTTGGGGCTAAGTAATCAGAAACTGTCATTTTCTCTCATCTGTTTACACCGGGGCTGTTTGAAGTATGTGGAAGGACAAAAACACTCCTGCAGTCATGTATCTTGGGTGCTTTCTTGATATTTGGGCAGGATAATCAGACGATTTGATGTACTTATTTCACTCCTTCCAAAAATGGAGCAGCAAGCCCTGAATATTAAGCGCAGAGAAACCTGTAAGGAGGAAGTAGAAGACTTTCCCAGGAACTCTTCCAGGAACCACTGCTCTCTGCTGTAGTTTTCTTTTGCCCTTGGTCACACCTTCACGCTGCCAAAGGTGACAGACCACTGTGGTCCTTTAGGAACGCAGCTTTATCTTTCTCAAGGGAAGAGGTAGTAATAACTTATTGCTATTTCAAGAAATTTTCTTTCCAGTCTTTGCAAAATGAGATACAAAGATGTTCTCCAGAGATGGTAGTGTTTTTGGAGACCCTGCAGATGTTTACATTAACCTTAGGATTTTAGTTGGAGCGTACTTCCCATCGTCCTGGTTTGGCATAAAGAGGGCAAAGGAGAGAAATCTAGAGTCCAAGGAGCTAATGGACTCCCCTCCTCTGTTGACTGTGGCCTCTTCTTTGACTGTTGCTTGTAGTTACCTGGACCTGTTCATTCCTCTGTGTTTCCGGTGGGATGACCCAGTACGGGGGTTGTTACTTCAATAGCCTCTTCACTGGTCCCGTGCCCCTAGTCTGCCTCCCTCCAGGCTGCTCTCCACAGTGCAACTGGGGGGGACCAATGTTTTGCCACCCCAGTGTGTGGCTTTCAGGGTATTGATTTTTAAGCTGGTTATTAACAAACAGGAGACTCAGAAAGAACCTTGGGCCCTCCCCCCTTACCTGCCTAAAGGAATTCAGATAGAAAAACCCACTGAAGGGGAAAGGAACCGTAGCATCTTAATATAAACCAAATGGGGCAGGCAGGGAGAAATCCAGCAAAGCCTGTTCGTTGAGCTTCCTTCTGAGTCCCATTGTCTCTGGGTGGCCCAGCAGGAATTTGTTTACCTGGTTTGCTCTTTCTCAGCTACCTGTGAATTGCCTGCTTTTCCTGGGCACTCCCAAAGCCTTGCCTCCCCTCCCCTTTGTTCCAAATGGCATGTGAACCTCAACTGTCCTGTGTGTGTTGGGGTCTCTTATCTTACAACAGTCGAAGTGTACATCTGGAATCAAGTTTGGACATTGTTCCTG